GGAAAGAGAAAGGCATGCAGTTGGTTGGTGAGAAATGTTTCACATAGAGGGAGCAATGACTTCAAATACCTTAATGGATGTTTCTGTGAAGGGTAAATGAAAATTTATAAACTCAGCCATAGTTAAGTGCTCATTAGATGTTAGGTATAATTTTAAAATAAGAAATGGAGATAATTCCATAGATTATATGTCTTCTATGCTCTAATGTACAACTTTCTTTTCCTCTTGATAATTTTTTTTCAGATTCTATGTTATTTATCCTGTTCTCCGATCCTTTAGGTTGCCCTCTTTTTTAATCTTTAGTGAGTTAAACCCTGCTGGCAATACTCAGATGCTACTGCTGTTAGAAGTCTTCTTTTCTTAATTTTTGCCCTTGGCTCAGTATTCGTATACTGTAAACTATGTCACATTGATTATCCTGCTAAGTATTGGGCAACTGCCCTCTCTAAAGTGGATATTTACAATTTCTCTGAGGTGATGATAATGGTACTGTACCTGACATGCAGGGACCTGTTGGTGTGTATGTGTGTGTGTGTAAGAGGGGTGATAAAAATGGTGTCAAGATGCTATTTGGAAGATAGTGCTTCTAGGTAATCCAGAAAACCCAACTGGTCCCAATCCCTATCAACCTCATATCCCTTCTAGAAATCAGAACAAAGTGACCATGTCCCTCTGTCTCTGGTTGTGAAACCACTAACCAGAGCTTGACCCACTTTTGTTTTGGCTTTCTTTGACTATAAAGCATTTTTTCCTGATTTTATCGGTGTGGATCCAATCAAAGAGGAAAACCACATACTAATTTGAACAAGGAAATGTTTTTATAAAGAATTACTAAATGTAACAAGGTATTGGAATAATGAAAGATTGGCTAGTAAGAAAGAAAGATCTATTAGTCTGCTCCAAAATACTGTAGACTGAGCAGCTTACACAACAGAAATTTATTTCTCACAGCTCTGGAGCCTGCGAAGTCCAAGATCAGGGTGCTGTTTGATTCGATTTCTGGTGAGGGCCCTCCTTCTGGTTTAGAGATGGCCATCTTCTCACTGCGCACTCACATGGCCTCTCCTCTGTGAGCACATGGAGAGGAGGGAGAGAAGGGTAGAAAGGAAGCTCTAATCTCTCTTCTTCTAAGAGCACTAATCCCTTCATGAGGGTTCTGCCCTCATAACCTTATCTATACCTACTTATCTCCCAAAGACACCCTCCTCCAAATACCATCACATTCAGGGTTAGGGCTTCCACGTGTAAATTTTAAGAAGATATAGACATTCAGTCTTTAGCAAAATAGAACTCTAAAGAGTGCAGGAATGGCTGCTGTTACTCCTATGGCTGAGATACAGCACCTAGGAAAAGCTGCTGTCTTCCCCCCACCTCGCCAAAGTGAGAGACAAATCTTATCAGGAAAGCCCATGGTTTACTGAATGGCTGAAATCATGGAAGTGCCACTCTAGCAGAACTGGTTGGGAATCTGCCCTCTGGAATTTGATAGAGACTCACCTTCTAAAGTACCTGGGATAGTTGTTCATGGGAAAATGTCTTACCCGTGAGGTAAGTGAGGCTTTGCCAAAAAATCGCCATGCTGCTGGCTGCTACTCGCTGCAGGAGCTGGGTACTGGAGAAGTCTTGCACTCTGCAACAGCCCCTCCATAGAGCATGCTAGAGAGCAAAACCCTTGTCTCCTGCAATGTCTCTCCAGCACTCTCTACCAACAGAGCTTCAGTGCCAGTTAGCAAAGGAAAACTATTTCAAAGATCTGGATCCTTTTCCAAAGAACAGGCAAAAGGTAGATTTAGAGTGGAAAGGCAATAAACCAATAACAATTACATTGATATAAACTAAGAATAAATACCAGCAGAAGCAAACTAAGTGAAAAATATATTGTTGGTTAGCAATGTAAATTACTTTTCAATGCCATTCTGAGTTTTATCCATTGTTACATGCTCTGTCCCTAGAATGGAATCTGGTTCAATATAGATGCTCAATGTATGTTTGTTGAATGAATAAATGAATGAATGAATGAATGAATCGCTTAATTTTTTCTCTGTTTTCTCTTTCTCTCTTTTTTTTTCCCCCATTAGCGGATGGATGCACTGATTGGTCTGTCGATATCAAGAAATATCAAGTTTTGGTGGGAGAGCCTGTTCGAATCAAATGTGCACTCTTTTATGGTTATATCAGAGCAAATTACTCCCTAGCCCAAAGTGCCGGACTCAGTCTGATGTGGTACAAAAGTTCTGGTCCTGGAGACTTTGAAGAGCCGATAGCCTTTGATGGAAGTAGAATGAGCAAGGAAGAAGATTCCATTTGGTTCCGGCCAACGTTACTACAGGACAGTGGTCTTTACGCCTGTGTCATCAGGTACCCTTTTAACTCTATTACTGCTGACTCATGCTGCTTTCTTATGCTTAAATCTTGCTGCCATCCCTTTCACCTAAACTATTGTCTCAATATTTGTGTGTGTTGCTGCCTTCTAAAATTTAGAATCTAAATCATAAAAAGATGGGATTGGAATTTATATTGAGACATTATTTCTGGCTTATGGAGAAAAGAGATACCATCTGGGTATCTACTTATATTGCCAGAAATTACTAAAGACTATGAAATAAAATTTATAGAGGTGAAATGCTGCAAATCAAATGTAAGCAAAGACTTGCAGAAAGGATGCATGGTTTATTGCTAAATGGGTTGTAACATTTTGTTATTGCCCTTCACAGACAGATAGAGCACAGATAGCTCTGGTTTACACACATCTGCAAAGATGATTTAAGTAATGCGTGTATGTGCACAGCAATAGGAGGGCAACACTGCCATGTTAGGGAATAAGAAGGCTGTGTTCCAGATCATTTTGTTAACTAAAAGTACTGGATCAATACGATAATTGTCCTTGGTCCCTCAGGGCTGATACAAAGGTTAATAACAAAATCTGTGCCCTTATTCCCCCCAAAATTCATCATATATTCACACATCTCTGTCTGCTTGTGGAGGAGACATATGTAGTTTGCTTAATGATAATACATTGAAACAGTATCCATGTAACACATTAGCAGTTAAAAATCTCAGTTTAAGCAGTTAGTCCTTCATGGGTTGTGAATCACACTGGGCATGAATGACTGTGGATGTCTTTGACTCTAAGAACATTGGCAAAGCAGGGTATGGGCATACAGAGGGTGTGTTTAAATCTATTTCTTTGTCTTTCTGTATTTCGGCTTATTAAGGGAAAAAAAGCCAAATCAAACTCAGTCGATTCCCAATTTGGAGAAATTCTCAGAATCACATAGTGTCTTTTTCAAATCGAAATTCAACATTTATTTCTGAAATTATGATCAGCAGCTATTACTCCTCTTTCATAAGGGTTGTACCTTCCCCTTGTTGTCCACTGTAGGAATTATCTCTATACTGAGTGTGTTACAAGGTTAGCTGTGTGTTAGGATATTAAAATAGATCAAAGCCACATTTTAAAAAGTCAAACAAATTTATCTTTTAACACTGGTGATGTATATTTAGAGTTAACTTTGGAAAAAATAAATGAATGCAAGTAGATTTGTGCTTGAGGGAAAATGTGGACTGGATTGTGAAAGAACATACATACAATTTATTTGGCAACTCTTTTTCTTTTTTCCTTTAGGGGTCACCAATCCTTGTATGTTCAAACATAATTCTTAATAGACGGTAAAGGTTTTGTAGGGGTATTGATAAATAATTGCCATGCTACTACAGTCAAAGAGTACTGTTTGGACTGACTGTTCTCGCTTGACTAATAGTAACTTGATTTCAATTCATGTCTGCTGTGTTTCTTTAAAAAAATTCTGGTTGTTCATGCATATGTAGAGTTGATTCTTCAAGAGAGGCAAATGAGTGTCTTCATTTATCCGAGATTAGAATTGAGCTGTGTCCAGAGTCTAACATTTAATTTCATTATGTATTGTTGATGAGAAAATGATGATGCGCACACATTAGTAATCTGAATTTCTAAAGCACTGATGTTGCTTTAGAAATGATTCTGTGATTCAATGCTCTGAGAAATTGCATTAAAATGTCCCTCGATTTATAGTTGGAATAAGGAATGAAAGGTCAAAAAGTTTCAAAACCCATGACATTTGTCAGATTTTCATGTCTAAATTTTTTATAACTTGAGCAAGTTGTTTTCTTTTTTTATTAAATTTATTGGGGTGATATTGGTTAATAAAATTATATGTTACAAGTGTATAATTCTATAATATGTCATATGTATATTACATTGTGTGTTCACCACCCAAAGTTAAATTTCCTTTCCTCACCATATATTTGACCGCCTTTACCCTTCTCTACCTCCACCCCCACACCCTCTTCCTTCTGGTGACCACTAAACTGTTGTCTGTGTCCATGAGTCTCTGTTCCTTTGTCTTGTTCATTTGTTGCTTTCAATTTTATATCCATCTGACTTATTTTACTTTATTTTACTTAGTGTGATAATCACAAGATCCATCCATGTTGTTGCAAATGGCAGTATTTCATCTTTTCTTATGGCTGGGTAATATTCCATGGTATGTATGTCTACATTTTAATGGGAGGTCAAACTAAAACACAAACACCTTAAAGTTTTATATCTGCCAAGTAGAATTCTAGAGAAAGTGATAAACTCAGAAAAAGATACTTTTATCACTGAAATTCAAATTTTAATTGCTTTGAAGTTAGTGCTGATATGACTCCCTTTTCCAGTTTGGAAAGTGGTACTCAAAATCATAACCAGCAGTTTAAATAGCATGACTTAGTATTGATGTGCAGGTACTCATGATGTCCAGAGCTGTTAGTTGATTCACTGACATTTTGGCGCATTGTTAGCTACCAGGCCACAAAACGGTCACCATTAGTTTTTACGTAATCCACATGCAAAGAACTTTAGATGTTTAAAAATGTTAGCTTCTACTCTAAGGTTCTAGTCTTTCTTTTAAATGTTCTGGATATTAAACTTATCAATGAAAAGGTTTAATAAGCCTTTTCATATATAGTTAATTTGTATTTATACCTAAGTATTTACAATTAAGTCTTGTAAATAATGGACATGTTTAAGATTACTATCAATATAATTAATGAGCTTTCTTACTTCCTTCTCTTAGTATTTATTTTGAACAGAATAATACCACATAATTCTTTGCTCCATAGTACTTGGCTTTTTATTTGATTTTCTCCTTCTTAAAATTTTAATTATTTTTACATGAAAAAGTGAATGAAGGAGAGCTACATAACAACTTATTTTTTTTCCATTATTGCCATTTAAAAAAAATGTTTACTTTCTGAAAAATATAATTTTTCTGTACTCTTGACTCGCAGTGTTTTAATCCCCTTCTTGAGATTTATGCCTTTTTAGCAGTTTCATATGCAGAGCTAACCAGTGCACATGTAAGCATTTTAATACCCCCCAAATGTAGCATACTAAGTTAGTACCCTATTTTTTCACTGAAATTTTTATTTTTGAAGTAATTCTACATTCATATTCAGTTGCAAGAAATAATATAGAGAGATCTCATGAATCCTTTACCTGGTTTCTCTCAGTGGTAACATTTTACAAAACTATAGTACAATATTATAACCAGGACATTGACAATCACTGATACAGTCAAGATACAGAATAGTGCTGTCACCTCAAGGACCTCTCCTGTTGATCACATCCACCTTCATCTCCCACCAATCTCAAAGCCCTAGCAACCACTAATCTGTTCTTCATTTTTAATTTTTTCAATATAAAAATGCTTCATCAGTGGACTCATATAGTATATCACTGTTTTGGAATTGTGTGTTTCGCTCAACATAGTTCCTTTGAAATGCATCCAAGTTGTTGCATGTATTCTGTAGCTTGTTCCTATTTGTTGCTGAATAGTATTCCATATATGGACATTACCTCAGTATTCTTTCATTGAAAAACATCTGAGCTGTTTCCAGTTTTTAGCTGTTGAAAATAAAGTTTCTGTTGTAAAAATATACCATATCTTCTTTACTCAGTCACCTATTGAAGAACACTTCAGTTGTTTCCAGGTCTTGGCCACTGTGAATAATGCTGCAGTGAACATTGGAGTGCGAATATCTTTATGGATAAATGTTTTCAAATTTGGGGGTAGATACCCAGAGAGGGATTTCTGGATCATATGATAATTTTATTCTTAGTTTTTTTGAGGAACCTCCATACTGTTTTCCATAGTGTCTATACCAGTTTACATTCCCACCAGCAGTGTCTGAGGGGTCCTTTTTTCCCACAACCTCTCCAACACTTGTTATTACTTGTCCCATTAATGATAGTCATTCTAACAGGTGTCAGGTGGTATCTGATTTATTTTGAGTTAATATTTATATAACATGTAAGGTTTATTTAGATCAAGATATAGCTTTTTAGATGTCCAGTTACTCTAGCACCATTTGTTGAAAAAGCTGTTTCCTCAATGGAATTGCTTTTACATAGTTATTCAAAATCAGTTGGGCATGTTTGTGTGGGTCTATTTCTGGATTCTCTATTCTATATATTTGATCTGTTTCATTTCTGTCAATACCACTCTGTCTTGGTTAATGCAGGTATACAGTGAGACTAAATATCAAGTAGAGTGAGTCTTCTCACTTTATCCTATTTTTAAAGATTGTTTTAGTTATTATTGGCCCTTTCTCCTTCCATATAAATTTTAACATAAACTTGTCTGTGTCTACAAAAATCTTTACTAGAATATTGATAGGAATTGCATTAGAACTTTTTTCTTTGTGTGTTTGTAAGTAATAGTGTCTTTTAAATTTCATTTTCAACAATGTACATTGGTAGTACTATTAGAAATGTGGTTGATTTTTATGTATTAAGTTCTCTCTAAAACTATATATTTTCAAATGACATATAATGTGTTCTCTCTAATATCTAGTTCCTTTGCCCAAGTCTTGATTTTCTCTTTAAGGACTAAATAATTCTTCTTTTCATCGAAAGCACATATTAAGCATCTATTCAGAGATACTTAGTGAAATCCATTTATTCAGTCATCCATTTTTAACAAACATCTACTGATCACTAAGTAATATGCTAATGATAGGATCGCAATTTCTTTTTTAAAACCAGTTTTTACCTTTGAGTATTTTACATGAGAGAAAATAAGTGTACAATAAATTATTGTAGATACTATGACCATAGTTTAAAATACAGTGGGGTTCCACCAAAATGGAGTAACCCCATTTCTCCCAGTCCTCTCCCTTATAACTAAAAATGCTGGATATAACACAACTGACAAGCATTGTAAGTCTGTAAAAGGTAGGAGGAAGGATTGTCTAGGGCAGGAGTCCTCAACCCCCAGGCCGCGGACAGGTACCAGTCTATGGCCTGTTAGGAATGGGCCGCACAGCAGGAGGTGAGT